TCAACAGCACAGGGAGTATATATAACCCAGCTGTCAGATAGAAAACCAGGGATCTCGTCATGCTGGTCGGCCCAACCGGCACTCAAAATTTGCGACCACCACGGAAACGCGTCCGACAATTGTCATATTGTTATTATACTTACGTACCGACCGACAAGCATCCTGCCAGGCGTGAATAATAATTTGTAAACAATTGACATAGTCGCGTGATGTGGTATCGGCTTTGAACAATACAACTCAATTTTGTAAAATTAGCACCTCTTTGTTTGTAAGTAAATATTTTCTGACGATAGATGCAGTCTTTAGATTGATAGCTAAAATTCATTCAAAATCAATTCCATCCCGATGTAACATGGGCAAAGCGGAGTTCACGATCAGTTTATGCTACTCAAGAAAAAACAACGTGTTTATTGCGTGATTGGGTAAAATACATCATTTGAACTGTTATCATCGTGAATCATGTAAAAATTCTTCTTTCAAGACTTCTTTTACCTTTCAAAAATTGCTAATCACTTCTTTCGAAAACCATCATGCAGTTTTCATCTGAAATCCATACCAACACATCGTGCTACGACATCGCTTTACTTCCGCAATGTAATTTTTATGATCACGATCATTCGGAAAACTTCGGGTTCTACCGGCATTACCATGCGGCATTCTGATTGGTTAATGGCGTTTTCGACCCACCGGGTCAAAGGACACAAACTAACGCATCACAGCTATCATGGCGGGTCTGTGTTTTTTCACGAAGTGATCGAGTGATCAAAAATAATTTCTCCCGATAAAACTAGTTCAAATTTTACGTTTTTTTCATATAAAAAAAGAAGTATTTAATTTTTGCATGGCATCATGACTGAGTAAGAGAAATTATTGGTATAACCGGTGTATAACATTGCGAAGTAAGTTGTGTCACGTCGTAACTTTGATGATTCTTTGGAAGTGTTATTTGTTCGTTCATTTACTGTAAATGTAAACGTTGTAGAAGCTGATGGTCGGAATAATAACCAGCAATCCGCCAAATAATTACGTCGTCGATTTTTTGAAGGAGAATTTTGTAGTAAATAAGATCATGAAAGTCTTGAACATAATCTTGGCTGGAACGTTTCAGATGGTCAATTTCTATTATTATGTAAATGATATGCAAATGATATGCAAATTAGGCCGCCACAGTGGTTTAAATTCCTGGGGAGAACACTGCAAGTAATACATTATAGTGTTGATTGTCTATGATAGGTTTTATGCTGAAAGTACAGTTGTATAGCGGTAATAATGCGTTTCCAAAAGGATACTTGCACTTGACTCTGACTTTCTTGCCGAGTCGATCATTACATGTAACTTCCAGCATTATGATAGTACCCTGGCACTATGATTGCAGAACTTGTATCTGAAGAGAAATAGACAAGCCATGCATGGCACAGTCCCTGTTAGTTATCAAATTTAAGATATATAGTTTTGTTTATAGTAATATATTTGGAATATAACCATGTCAGAAATATGATTTTTTAACATTAAAATGATTGACATTTGTATCTGATCGTCAAACAAGTACTTGTGCATTTTGGGAGATATTGCTCTGGAACAGCATTCAAAATCAACCATTTTCAATACATGTATATATATAACATGATGTATAACGAATATATAAAATTTTAATATAATCAGTCAAAGCATTTAAGAGACATGGCTCTAGAAGCCCAATTATTAAAACAAAATGGCCGCCAGTCAGCCATTTTGAATTCAATCTGAAAAATAAAATGATATGCATCAGGAACCCGTAATGTTCAATGTATGTACCAAGTTTGAATGAAATCCATCCATTAATGTTAGAAATGCTTGATATTTGATGATTTTTTAGCACAAAAATGACCACCATTCGGCCATTTTGAATAGGATCGTCGAACTAATACATCTGTTTATCTATGACATGATGTATAATGATTATTTAAAATTTGAACATAATCAGTCAAAACAAGTCGGATATATAGATCTAGAAGCCCATTCATTAAAACAAAATGGCCGCCAGACAGCCATTTTGAATCCGATCTGAAAAATAAATGATGTGCATCAGGAACCTGTAATGTCTAATATATGTACCAAGTTTGAACGAAATCCATCCATAAATGCCAGAAATGCTTAATATTTGATGATTTTTAGCACAAAAATGGCCACCATTTGGCCATTTTAAATAGGGTTGTCAAA